TTTCCTGCCTATGCAGGGGGTCGGACTCGATGATCTATTGAGGTCCCTTCCGACCCTAACATCTATGAATATGAAGCAGAAGCTCGTATACTCCTTTGGTGGAAATCAGGAGAGAGGTAACTGTCAGAGAATTGGCTTTTGCTGAGCTTTAAGGGAAAGTACACAGCAGCATGATTCTTACTTCCCTCAGTTAATGAAAAGAACATAAGAATTGCCATTTCCTGGGTTAGACCACAGTCCATATACCCAATAGTTTATCTCATGCAGTGATGGTGCGGATGCTTAGGGGAAAGATAAATAGGGCATGTCCAGAGTCTTCCACCATTGCTCCTTTTCCACTGCGGCTTCCAGCATTAGGAGATTTCCGAGATTTAGGAAGTTCTGATTCAGGAGCGGCACTCCTATCTGACATGACCAATATCTACTAGTGGATCTTTCCTCCTTGAATTTATCCAACCCTCTTTTGAACTGAGTTAAACTATCAGCCTCCACATCTTTCAGCAATAAGTTTCATAAGTTAATTACACGCTGTGGTGAAGAATAATTTCCTTTTGTTAGTTTTAAACCCACAACCTAATAATTTCATTTTATGTCTCCTAGTTCAAGATATAAAATATGGGCCAAATTCTGTTCTTATTTACATGGATGGAAATCTGGAATAATTGTTGTGGTTATAGAATCATAGAAATTAAGGGCTGGAAGGGACCTTGAAAGATCATCAAGTCCAATCCCTTGCTCTGGGCAGGAATACTGCTGAGATCAAATGATCCAGTCTCCTCTTGAAGACCCCTCTGTCTAGTCTCCTCTTGAAGAGCGCCAAGGTTGGGGACTGCACCACCTCCTTGGGAAGTCTATTCCAGATTCTAGTCACCCTTACAGTACAGAAATTCTTCCTTACATCCAACCTGAAACCATCCTCTAACAGTTTATGACTATTGCTCCTTGTCCCTCCGGGGAGCCTTAGTGAACAGTTTTTCTCCCAGCTCCCAATCAGCAGAATTACTCTCAATTTATATTGGTGTAACTCACCAGATAAACTA